TCTCGCCGTGGTGGGGGTGAGGGTGGTTTGCCAGTGTATGGGAGGCGATGGTAGTGGAAGGCTCTCTCGGGTGGGGGCTGGGGTGTTGTTGGTCAATGTTAGACTCTCTTTGTGGGGGAGGGGCGTGTTGATTGGTGTCAGGGTCCCTCCATGGGGGGGTGTTGTCTCTATTTTTGTGTTGCTTAGGGCAGCACAAAACCTAAATACACCACTGGGTAGGATGTTTTGATGGGGCTGTGCCCACACTGTAAGGGTTATTTTCTCCTTAATGTCTAGGGTAACAAAAAAAAGTAACTATACTTATCTGACCCTCTGCTCCTCCCCGCAGCTTCTTCACCCCTGCGCTCTAGCAATCTGCTTTGGGCATGAGGACCACGAGGGACAATCCACCGCTATATCATGGGGAAGCTCCATCTGCGGGGATTCAGGTAGGTAAAACAGTTTCTCCTCCCATGTAAAGCAGGGGTCTAAAACTATGGAACTCCAGATGTTAAGGAACTGCAAGTCCCATGAGAGCTGGCAAAACTCTGACAGCTACAGGTAAGACTCCCAGAGGCAGAGGCATGTTGCGACTTGTAGCACGTCAATAGCTGGAGGGCCATAGTTTGGAGACCCTTGTTCTACACAAAACAAGCCCCACTGCAGGGAATAAATATTTTTCTGCCTGAAGTTGGGCTTTAATTTGGAACTACAGGTGTACCTCGGTTTTACGAATTTAATGCGTTCTCCGGGAAGTTTCGTATTGCGAAAAATTTGGAAGCCGAAACACAGTTTCCCATAGGAATGCATTGACAATCAATTAATACGTTCCGGAGGTCAGAAAAAAGTAAAAAAAAGAGTCAGTGCTGGTCTTTAAATGTAATTTCTGGCTTTTTTTCCCCTTTATTATAGCTCAGAGAATCAGCTGTCACTCCCCCCCCCCCCAGCTAAAAGAAAGAATGTTTCCTTTTAGTTTCTTTCTCCGAGTTAAAAGAAACAATGTTTCCTTTTAGTTTATTTCCCAGAGTTAAAAGAAACAAAGTTTCATTTAGCTCTGGGGAAAGTGACAGCTAATTCTGTGAGCTATAGTGAAGAAAAAAAAAAAAAAGGGCAATTGCATTTAAAAATCGTCACCGACATACACTTCATATTGCAAAAAAAAAAATCGTAAAATATTTGTAAACCGAGGCATTATTTTGAATGGATTTTCATCCGTAAACTGAAAATTACGTTGACCGAGGCGTTTGTAAACCGAGGTACACCTGTATATCAAAAACATAAACATATTGTAGTTTACCAATCCTTGAAAGTGGAGGCTGTATTCGTTTTCTTTTTCCCAAGGTTTTATGTTCTTTGGGTGACGGGCCAGTAACACACCTTTCTGTCCTAGCGTAGTTACATTCACTCCTCCGCTACATCTAGGGAGCAGCAACATAGACACCCTTGGACAGCAGCATTGTCAGTCAGTGGAGGGAGGGGTGTTGGATGGACTCGTAGATTTAGATGGGCTGACTAAAGCTACTTTTACGTCAGCGATTAGGGCCAGTGCAAATAGTAGCGGCAAGAAACTTTTCATTCCTGCTGTGGCTGTCAGCGGCTAGCTGCGACTGCTGGTCCTGTTCACTATTGCCGGCGGCAGCAGCTATTCTGCACGGCCAGTGATTACCAGGGTGACTGCTGCTAGATCCACTTTGGGGCTGATTTACTAAAGGCAAATATACTGTGCACTGCAAGAGAAGCTGCTCCAGAGCGTAGTAAATGAGGTAAAGTTTCACTTTGCAAAGGATATCCAGTCATGTGCAAAGGAAAAAAAAGAGAGCATTTTTGCTTGGATGACAGAAAGCTTCCCTTAAGGTCTAGAGCAGTGCAAAAACTATATGCCTTCAGTAAATCAACCCTTTGTATGAATCCAGTAGCCATCACCCCAGGTAATCGCTGGCTGTGCAGAGAGTGGCGAATAGCTGCAGACACCAGCGACCTGCCATTATAGTGAACAGGGCCAGCAGCCACACCGAGCCGCAGCAGGAACCGCCTTTACAAGTTGCACCAGCCTTAATCGTCAGTGTGAATGTAGTCTAAGTGACTAACAATGTAATCCCCAACTCCCATTAACATGTTATAAGCTATTTTTTTATTTGGGGGGGGGGGGGGATAAGGGCTTTATATAAAAGCATAAAAGCTGTTCATTGTAAGCACCCCTGTCAGTGTTAAATGGTTTTGTCTCAGTTCTCAAACTGCCATTTTTACTGGAAAGCTTAGTTTGTTAACCATTTGTCAACTGCATAACCTAGGTACATGGCAGCAGAATGGCTCTCCTGCGCAGGATCACGTACCCAGTTCGTGATCTGGCACTCCTGGGTAGGGGGCGCGCGCCGCCGGCAACCCGGCTTTGCTGTGATTAGACACAGTACAAGCCAGTCAGCGGATGCCAGCCAATGGATGACTGCCGGCATCCGCTGATCGGGGAGGAGAATAAGACAATGCAAACAAGGCAGAGCTCTGTCCGGTCAGCGGGGATGTGCTGGATTTGGTTTTTCTGCAAAGCAGGGAATAATAACCGGCACATCCCTCAGTGAAAGCACCACATAGTACACACACAAAAACATTGGTTAGGCACACATTTGACCCTTTGATCGCCCTAGATGTTTAACCCCTTCCCAACCAGTGTTATTAGCACAATGTAAAGGTGAAACTCGAAAAATTAGAATATCATGCAAAAGTTCATTTATTTCAGTAATGCAACTTAAAAGGTGAAACTAATATATGAGATAGACTCATTACATGCAAAGCAAGATAGTTCAAGCCGTGATTTGTCATAATTGTGATGATTATGGCTTACAGCTCATGAAAACCCCAAATCCACAATCTCAGAAAATTAGAATATTGTGAAAAGGTGCAATATTCTCGGCTCAAAGTGTCCCAGTCTAATCAGCTAATTAAGCCATAACACCTGCAAAGGGTTCCTGAGCCTTTAAATGGTCTCTCAGTCTGGTTCAGTAGGAATCACAATCATGGGAAAGACTGCTGACCTGACAGTTGTGCAGAAAACCATCATTGACACCCTCCATAAGGAGGGAAAGCCTCAAAAGGTAATTGCAAAAGAAGTTGGATGTTCCCAAAGTGCTGTATCAAAGCACATTAATAGAAAGTTATGTGGAAGGGAAACGTGTGGAAGAAAAAGGTGCACAAGCAGCAGGGATGACCGCAGCCTGGGGAGGATTGTCAGGAAAAGGCCATTCAAAAGTGTTGGGGGACTTTCACAAGGAGTGGACTGAGGCTGGAGTCAGTGCATCAAGAGCCACCACACACAGACGGATCCTGGACATGGGCTTCAAATGTTGTATTCCTCTTGTCAAGCCATTCCTGAACAACAAACAACGTCAGAAGCGTCTTACCTGGGCTAAAGAAAAACAGACCTGGTCTGTTGCTCAGTGGTCCAAAGTCCTCTTTTCTGATGAGAGCAACTTTTGCATCTCATGTAGAAACCAAGGACCCAGAGTATGGAGGAGGAATGGAGAGGCACACACTGCAAGATGCTTGAAGTCCAGTGTGAAGTTTCCACAGTCTGTGTTGATTTGGGGAGCCATGTCATCTGCTGGTGTTGGTCCACTGTGCTTCATTAAGTCCAGGGTCAACGCAGCCGTCTACCAGAACTTGGAGCACTTCATGCTTCCTTCCGCAGACGAGCTTTATGGGGATGCGGACTTCATTTTCCAGCAGGACTTGGCACCTGCCCACACTGCCAAAAGCACCAAAACCTGGTTCAATGACCGTGGGATTACTGTGCTTGATTGGCCAGCAAACACGCCTGACCTGAACCCCATAAAGAATCTATGGGGCATTGCGAAGAGAAAGATGAGAGTCATGAGACCGAACAATGCAGAAGAGCTGAAGGCCGCTATTGAAGCATCCTGGTCTTCCATAACACCTCAGCAGTGCCACAGGCTGATAGCTTCCATTCCACGCCATATTGAGGCAGTAATTGCTGCAAAAGGGGCCCAAACCAAGTACTGAGTACATATGCATGCTTCTACTTTTCAGAGGTCCGATATTGTTCTATGTACAATCCTTGTTTTATTGGTTGCATGTAATATTCTAATTTTCTGAGATTGTGGATTTGGGGTTTTCATGAGCTGTAAGCCATAATCACCACAATTATGACAAATCACGACTTGAACTATCTTGAACTATCTTGCTTTGTATGTAATGAGTCTATCTCATATATTAGTTTCACCTTTTAAGTTGCATTACTGAAATAAATTAACTTTTGCACGATATTCTAATTTTTCGAGTTTCACCTGTATATTTTTTAGCACTGATTGTTGTATTAGTGTCACTGGTTCCCACAAAGTGCCAGTTAGTGTCAGATTGTCTGCCGCAATATCACAGTCCCGCTAGAAGTTTCTAATCATATATATACACACACACATACATACATACACACACCATAGTTTGTAGATGCTATAACGTTTGCATGAACCAATCAAAATACGTTTCTTTTTTTACCAAAAATATGTAGCAGAATAAATATTGGCCGAAATTTATGAAGAAATTTAATTTTTTTAAAAATATTTTTAATTGGATATGTTTTATAACCACTTGCCCTCCAGAGGATTTCCCCCCTTCTTGACCAGGACATTTTTTGAGATCCGGCGCTGCGTTGCTTTACCTGACAATTGCGCGGTCATGCAACGCTGCACCCAAATGAAATTTACGTCCTTTTTTCCCACAAATAGAGCTTTCTTTCAGTGGTATTTAATTGCTATGAAAACAAATCCAACAATTTTGAGAAAAAAAAACAATATTTTTGACTTTTTGCTATTAAACATTTTCAATAAAAAAATAAAAAAAATTAAATTTCGTCATAAATTTTGACCAAAATGTATTCTGCTCCATGTCTTTGCTAAAAAAAATTCCAATACATGTAAATTAATTGGTTTACGTGAAAGTTATAGCATCTACAAATGGCGGTGTATATATATACTGGAATTTTTTTTTTTTATACTAGTAATGGCGGTGATCAGCGACTTATAGCGGGACTGTGGTGGGCATTCTGACACTGGGGGGGATTGACTGTCACTGACATCCCCAGTGACACCAATACAGTGATCAGGGCTAATAAAAAGCACTGACACTGTACTAATGGCACTGGGCAGGAAGGGGTTAACATGTGGGGCGAACAAAGGGTTAACTGTGCTGTGCGTGTTTAAATGTAGACAAGCTGCTTTGTATTGCTCTGCTGTGCAGAACAATACAAAGCAGCCTGTTCATGCTGACAGGGAAGAGATCTGTGTTGTTTTACATACAGACCTCTCCCCTGTCAGCTCCGCCGACGATCACTGAATCTCAGGCAATAAATGGAGGCCAGGACCGGTGATTGACATGCCGATTGACAGTATGCTGTGTATGCTTTCCACTGTAAGCACACTGCTTTTTATGGCTGTGCTATGCAGAGCCATACAAAGCAGTGTGCAGGAGCTGACAGGGGAGAGATCGGTATTGTTTACATACAGGTCCCTTCCTCCGTTGGTGATGCACCTGGTGCTAGCGGGGAATCACCAGCCGGGACCCGGTGATCGACAGCTGAGGCAGCCAATGATGGCACAGGTAGGGCTCGCATGGTACCTGGAAATGCAAAATCACGTATATATACACGTGATTTTGCGCACCGCTGCCGCCCTGTAGCAGTAGTTCTGCTATATGGCGGCGGGGGGAAAGCGGTTAATTACCACCTTAATCAGCCACAGAACCTGTATAATTAATACGTGTTTGGTTTTAAAGGGATGATGTGGCAACCCTGTGACTGGTGGCAGTTCAGTGGTGAGCACAGGCAAAGGTAACAGTTAACATTCCCAGCATGCCTTGAGGGCCACTTCAAACCATGCATTCCAGTGCTTTTTTTTTTCCTGCATCCAAAAACGTACAGAAAGTAGGTTACATGGTTTTCAGTAGCATAGTTCACACCAGTGTGGTTAGTTCCAGAAAAAGAAAAGTAGAACAAGCTGCATTTTTCCTGCACAAGTCTGTACTGAAACACGGTAAAGCACATCAAAAATGCACTGGACCCCCTGTACAGTGATAAAAAATATTGATAAAAAAAGCATTTGTAACACATCCCCAAACGCACCAGAGCGCATCAAAAATGCGCATGTAGAGACGCATCTGGAGGACGTTTCAACCTCTCGCCCCCAGCACAGCCCTCCATCACCCCCAACACAGCCCCCCATCACCTACAGCACAGCCCTCCAGCACAGCCCCCCATCACCCCCAGCACAGCCCCCCATCACCCCCAGCACAGCCCTCCATCACAGCCCCCCATCACCTCCAGCACAGCCCCCTTCACCCCCACCACAGCCCCCCATCACCTCCAGCACAGCCCCCCATCACCCCCACCACAGCCCCCTTCACCCCCACCACAGCCCCCCATCACCTCCAGCACAGCCCCCATCACCTCCAGCACAGCCCCCTTCACCCCCACCACAGCCCCCCATCACAGCCGCCCATCACTTCCAGCACAGCCCTCCATCACCCCCATCACAGCCCCCCATCTAATATTCTCCACATCAGGGGAGTTGCAGGAAGATGAGGATGTGTGGAGGTGACATGATCCCCCCATCCAGCCCACACACAGTGCTGGGACCCCCTTATCTCATAATAAGAAGACATTATTACCTCCTCCTCCATGAGTACTGGCTCTCCAAACCGATATCCCTTCCAGGAATTTTAACTACTTTATTTCCTGCAGGCTACAACAAAATGGCCGCCCACTGACCCCTACCGAGACAAAATATCCAGAAAAACTAAATTTCACTGCAATAAAACTTTACAAATATCTATCGTTTGATTTGCTACCTGTAATGCTTTTTTACATAAATACCTCTACACCGCACTACAAGAAAATGGCCGCATAGTTTCTGACGAGAAAGAAAATGTTAGAGGGAGTTTTGTCCTCTAGCGGTTGCTCTGAGGAGACCAGTGGGCGGGGTTTTCCTTACACAGCGGTGCCAGATCCTTCACCTTTCTCTGCTTTGCGGCTCTTGTGTGGTCTCTTGGTAGGCCAGGTTTTGCTATGGTGACGCGCATGCGAAGAGTCAACGAGGTTGGCCGCCACCTTGTGGAAATTTAGGAAACTGACCAGAAATTCCTTCTGGGGTTAAAGTGAGCTATAAATATCAGTGGGGTAAGTGAGCGCAGAAAGTAATAAAAAAGGCACAATGCAGCAGCTGGCATACAAGGTAAATCTCAACACCTTAAAACTCAAAATCACATGCAGACAGGGTATGCAGCGCTAAACAAAAATTAAATGTAGAGAACTAAGTTCCCAGTAGTTCCGTATAAATGAAGTTATGATGCTGGTAGCCAGTTCAGATTCCAAATGTGATAGTAGAACCAAACCAGTTAGAGTAAAAAAATTGTTCATAACAGCAAGGCATCAATATGCAATCCTGAAGAAACCAACAAAATTATGCGCTTACCACAAGGGCATACAAACAAGGCGTTGTATGCATATACTCTGGTGTATCGTCAGTGGGCAGAAGAGCCTGGTTCACATTGCAGACAGCATCCGGTCACTAGGAGGAGATATCAGCACACACTCTGGGATCCCATCCAGCTCATTAGATAGGTCCAACGGCGTCCAGCCTCCCAGTATATACTTCTCCTATGGTGGTCCACCTTTCATGACTCGCAAATAAATGAGTCATAAAGCAAAAACGATATGATGGTGAAGTATGTCTTTATTAGAAATTTCCAAAAAGAAGGTATATAACTCACATGAGCAAATAGCCAGGTCAGGTGTCAACCTCCCTGGTGATCTAGGCTCCCTGGTGTGTAATGGCGTCAGCTGGGCGAGTCCCCTAACAAGAGGGAGGGCCACTCACGGGAATAAATTACATCCTCCTCCCACCTGGCCATAAACAAGTTGGCCAGGCTGGGGGCAAATTTTGCCCCCATAGCAACACCAGTGACCTGCAGATAATATGCATTGCTGAACCAAAAATAGTTTCTACGCATGGCAAAATCCAGCAGATGAAGAATGAATTCCTGTTGTAAACTAGGAACATCAGATGCTGTATTTAAATAAAACCGTGCTGCCTCCATTCCATCCCTATGTTTAATACTACTATACAGAGATGAAACATCTGCTGTCACTAGATAGGTTTCCTTATTCACCTTAAATTCTGCCAGATCCATTAACACCTGTTTGGTATCCCGCAAATAAGCTGGCGTCGATTTAGCTAAAGGCTGTAAAAAGAAGTCAACATACTCGCCTATACGGGAATTTAGTGATCCGATGCCACTTATTATTGGCCGACCTGGAGGACATTGGGGATTTTTATGAATTTTTGGGAGGCAATAAAACACTGGAAGACGCGGGGCTGCTGGACATAAATATGATTTTTCTTTTTTATTAATAATGCCTGATTCAAAACCCTTAGTTATAATGTTCTTTAATTCCCTTTTATAGGGAATTAGTGGGTTATTAGGGAGAAGATGATATGTCTCCCTATCATTTAATAGAAGGAAGGCCTGGTTCATATAGTCCCCCTTATCCATAATAACAACCCCTCCTCCCTTGTCAGCTGGCCTAATGACAAGATCTTTATTTGCTAGCAGGGATTTAATCCCGTCATTTATTGAGCGTTGATTACGTAATTTCTTAACTTCCATTTTGTCCAAATCCTTTAATGTTAAATTCTTAAAAGCATTAATATGGGAATGTGCCAAGGGGTTAAAAAAGGGATGCGTTTTTTAAATTAGAAGATTTAAAATCACTATTTGTATGGACCTGAATGTCCCTAGTAGGGGGCAAATTCAGGAAATATCTCTTAAGAGATAATCTACGCACAAATTTGTTTATATCCACATACGTGTTAAATTTATCCAGCTTCCTCTTAGGGGCAAACTTCAGTCCCTTGTTCAATAAGTTAAGTTCATTATCGGTCAGCACTACTTTACTTAAATTAAATATACCCTTAGCTGTTACATCTTTCTTTTTTTGTGGTCTGTTAACTCTCTTTCCTCCTCTCCTTCCTCTGCAAGTATACTTCTTTTGCGATTTCGGCCATCCTCTAAAAAATGGTTAGACTGAGGATTACGAGGAGTTGATGCCATATTTGGCCGAGTATTAAAATTGGGAGGCAAGTTGTGTGATGGATTGTAAGCATTATGATTACCATTATTAATCCACCCCTTATTATTTGGAGGAACATTACGATTGTAGGGTACATTGTAATCACCACGTTTAGGTGATTTGCCACGTGAATAATAGGAATTTCTAATACTATAATTCTGATCATGCTGGTACTTATCCTGTGGGTCCCTCCAAGATACTCTCCGTTGTCTATTATTAGAGACAGGATGATATTGAGGTCTATAGTTAGAGTGGTAATCCAAAGGGTGTGATCTTATATCCCTATTGAACATGTCTTCATTTTCATATTCATAAAGATTATCAAATCTATTATGTATAGGGACATTATATTTTCTACCCTTGACTGCTCTCGTTTATTCGGTTTTACAGATGGGGCTAGAGGTCTGAAAACCTTAGGATTCATATTATGGGCAAGTGTATGCTTAAAACCAGTGTTCATATTGTTTGCCAAACTATGGCTAGTTGGATTCTCAGTTCCCTCGTTATCAGATTTCTGCCACCTAAAAACAATATTGTCTTTATAGTCGGCCAAATCTCTATTGTATTTCTTCTTTTTCTTACTCCTTTGTTCTTTTTCAATTTTCTCCAGAAGGTTTTTTAACCTATTAGATTCAAGTGTATATCCCTCACTTTGCATATAAGGTACCAATTTCTCCCGTGTTTTGCTAATCTCATTATCAAGATATGCCAACTTTTTCTTTTTCCGTATCACTCATTTTCTGGAGGAATATCCCCCTTAAAGACCTGGGTACCATATTTTCCTTGATATATTTTTCAAGGAAACTGATATCCCAAATGGTTCTAATTTCTGAAGTTACATGATTAGTTAAATGGAGGAAGATCCCATGAAGATCATCCTCAGGTGTATCCTGAATAAAAACGTCATCAGTGATAGCTGTTCTTAAAGCTCTTAGCTTAAAAATATCCATGACAAATAAATTGCTTTTAGGTGGCAGAAATCTGATAACGAGGGAACTGAGAATCCAACTAGCCATAGTTTGGCAAACAATATGAACACTGGTTTTAAGCATACACCTGCCCATAATATGAATCCTAAGGTTTTCAGACCTCTAGCCCCATCTGTAAAACCGAATAAACGAGAGCAGTCAAGGGTAGAATATAATGTCCCTATACATAATAGATTTGATAATCTTTATGAATATGAAAATGAAGACATGTTCAATAGGGATATCAGATCACACCCTTTGGATTACCACTCTAACTATAGACCTCAATATCATCCTGTCTCTAATAATAGACAACGGAGAGTATCTTGGAGGGACCCACAGGATAAGTACCAGCATGATCAGAATTATAGTATTAGAAATTCCTATTATTCACGTGGCAAATCACCTAAACGTGGTGATTACAATGTACCCTACAATCGTAATGTTCCTCCAAATA